GGAGGAGGAAAGAGGAGGAGGAGGAGGAGGAGGAGGAGGAGGAGGAGGAAAGAGGAGGAGGAGGAAACAGTTTTTGTCTCAAAAGCTCCAAGGCAGAGGACCAAGGCAAGGAGAGGCCCAGCAAAGTTTCTGAGAATCCAAAACAACAACAACAACAACACCAAAACCCTCACCGTGTATGAGTTCCTGTTAGGAAGACAACGTGTGCTATCTGCGAACCCCCAAAGAGTGAAGCCCAGGGGATCCCTCCAACATCTGGGTTCTCTAGACACCGTGGAGGGAGCAAGCAAGTCCCGCCAAAGGGCTGGAGTTAGCTGCAGTTTGCTCCAGTCCTGCCCCCTGTTCCTCAGAGCCTCAGCGGCCCAGAAAGCAACTTGGACTCTGGTTGACTCAGGGCTGCTTCGCGCTCCGCCGCTCCTTACTTGCAGGCGCTTGTCTCCTAACGGGACAAGTTCTGGCCCCAGACACTTCTCTCGCCCCACACAAAGAAACAGAAAGCGAGCGGACGCGCCCGCAGCTGGCCGACTGGCGGCCTCTCCACGCTCGGGGCGCACAGAGCCCGCGCGTGGGATCGGGGACGCGGGACGGGGACCCATCCCAGCCAGAGGCGCAGTGGGTCTGGGGCCCACAACAGCTTAGGAGGCGGCACAGCAGGACCCGCGGGTGTCGGTGACCGCGGCCCGTCCCATGCGCTCCTGTCCGGCCGCGGCGTGCGGAGGGCCAAGGAGCCCTTCCCGGGGAGGGTACTCACGGTGGTAAGGGGGCAGCGACGTGCTGTTGAGGTTGCTCATCTCTGATGGGTCCTGGGCGGTGGCCCCGGCTGAGGCCGAGACGCCTAGGGGACAAAACGCGGCGGCAGCGAGGGTCGCGCTCTCGGGCTCCTGACCCTGATCGGAGGGAGGAAGCGGCACCTGGGTCACCCTCCTCCCGCGCAGCCCAGCCAAGGGGAGGGGCTCCGGCCCGGAGATAGGCACACTTCAGTTATTTTTTTTAACTTGGCTGGTGGGGTTTCCACCCTTTTTTTTTTTTTTTTAACCACAACACCCGCCCACTTCAGAACTCCTCTGCGCTCCAGCTGTCCAGCGCAAGTCTCACATTTTTTCTGTTATTCTGTTTCCATCTGCATCTGCCAGATACAGAGGTTGTGGTTGAGAATGTCCCCTCGGTGCACGGAAAACCTCCCAGAGGTGAAGCTGGGGTGGTCTGGTTGGGCACTGTCTGTGATGGCGACCAAATAGGGCAGACCCACTTTGAAACTTAGCTGGCTACTTTGCCTCTTAACGGTTATGTAGCCTGAGTCAGCTCAGGGTGTTTTCAGTTTTGTTTTCCGTTTAATTAACACGTAATAATTGTAAATATTTATGATATTTCTGGAGTACTGTCTCATACTTTGAAACATGAACACAATATGTATTGATCAAACCAGGGCAATTCACACTTGCATCTCCTCATCATTTCTTTATGTTCAATGGTTTCAAACTCCTCTCTTCTAGTTTTTCATAAAATGTATAAAAGCTTTTTGTCAACTATAGTCACACTATTGGGCTGTAGAACTCTAGAAATCATATTGTCCTGTATTTGGTACCCCATGTCCAAACTCCCTCTGTCGTCTTTCCCCTCCCCTTCTTAATTATTCTTCTACTATTTCCTACCTTGAGATAGACTTTTTTTTCTTAGTGTTGAGGTTTGAGAGGGAACATATAGTATTAGCTTTCTATGGCTGGCTCAGTTCACCTAACAAAATGTTCACTTCTAGCCATTTTGCTGCAAATGACAAGATTTCATTCATTTTATGGCCAAATAATATTCCATGATACACATATACCACATTTTTTTCTTATCCACTCATCTATTGATGTACACTTTTTTTGTTACAATGAAAATTGGGGTGAGGGGATCTCTCTGATATGTTGATTTGATTTCATTCTCTTTGGCTACATATCCAGAAGTGGGACAGCTAGATGGTACTGTCATTGTATTTCTAGATTTTAAGGAGCCTCTATAGTGTTCTCCATTTACATGTCCCCCAAAGGATGTATAAGAGTTCCCTTTTCTCTGCATCCTTGCCTGCATTTGTCCGTTCATTCGATGGATCTTCCTTCCTTCCTTCCTTCCTTCCTTCCTTTTCTTTCTTTCTTCCTTCCTTCCTTCCTTCCTTCCTTCCTTCCTTCCTTCCTTCCTTCCTTCCTTCCTTCCTTCCTT